CAAGTCCGTTTGTAAGACTTCAACGAACCTTCAATCATATTGAGAAGCATGAAATTAAAGAAATGTTGCACGACAAGATTTCAATTTCAAGCTTCTTTTTGAGACTTTTTCAATTACTGGTAAATAATGATTTTAAGAGTTGCAGTTCCTGGCTGAGGAGCGCATATCTTTAATTTCGCAACCTGGGTCAAAAAAATCAAGTCAATGAAAAAATTAAAGATGTATGTACAAAGTTTTGTTATTACTCAGTTAAATTATATCATTGTTTAGTCGTTTAACTTTTCTCTCTTTTTGTTGTTCCGTTATTAAAATCATGCAAACATAATTTGTATTGATTTAAAAATATTTCTAGTGAATAAATCAAAAAGGATCGGGAAACAGACAAAGCCTACATATGTGCGAAAAAGGGTCCAGATGACTTTGAATAACACGCATTCTAAATTTCAAACATCTTTAAAAATAAATAAGATATAGGCCTAGGTATGTAGGCATCTTTCAGTCATTTCTCAACATTTTCAGTCTACTAGTATATTCAGAATAATCTTCTCTTTTTATTTAAACTCTTCTTAAAATTTTGCTTAGATATGATGAAAATAAATTGAATCATTAAATATACTGTGATTCTTATTGATTACATATGACTGTTAAAACAATCGAATTGGATTCAGAAGACTGGCTTATTATCCTTATAAGTTTCCTATCTGCATCCATGACCTCAGAGATGATGAAAAAAAATACATAATTAACAAAATAATCAATAATTTGTTTTTAATAAAATAAACTCTAGAAATGCACAATAATTAATTATATTTAAGATAGTTATGTAAACTGAAATTACATTCCAATATAACAAAAAGTTATTTTTCAGTCATGACAGAATACACCAATAATCACATCTTACAGAATGACAGAGGTCATGTGACAGATGTAAAACAAAAATCACAAATGAATAGCAGATCACTATTACTAAAAATTCCTTTTATCAGACACTCTGAAAATTGCTAACATGTACATGAATATGTACTGTTATGAAATTACAGATGTATGAATCATTATATGTACTTTACTAACATTATCAACTGTATACAGTATAAAGAGAATAAAAATATTACATTTTTGGGGGGTAATGTGAAATTGTTATCCCTTGAAAGTTGAAAATCATTTTTGACCGAGGCTTTGTAATTTTTTTTTTTTTACTAAATATATCCAAAATGCATTTAAAGGAAAATATCATAGAGAACGTGCAAACATCAGTTAATAATTTTTGTACTGTTACACGTTGTCAATCATTTTTAACTGTTGATATGTAATGCTACTCGAAGGACACGGATTATGCACACAGTAGGGTAAAAGTACAAATTTTAACATGTTTTAAAGCAATGAAATTTGACTATTAAACATAAAAGTACATAAATGCAAGTTGCTACATCCTAATGTAACACATCACTGGGAGTAACACAATAGGAACTACATGTATACAATTTTCTGCTAATCTTTCTTAAACACAATAATCTTCCCTTTCATCTAACGAGAAAACTTTTCCTTTTTCCCAAGTGTGATGTGGAATGAGCAGGAGAATAAACTTTCATCTCTTTCTTTGGTACAACTGGTTTTGGACATGATGTGTCTTTAGCAGAGAGTGATGGACAATGTTCACGATTTCCTCATATAGGTACCATTGCCTCTTCAGCTCAAGAACAGGTGCTTGGATTTCTTGAGGAAGAGGTTCATTTACGGAGGGAAGGATATTCTGATTTTTCAGGAGATTCACACTCAAAGGAACAGAATTACATTATTGTCCTCTACAGAAATTAAAAATTTTTCAATTTGAATTTGTATATGACATTTTAATTAGTCATGTACGGTACTCATTGGCAACTGAAAATTGTGAATTAGGGAAAGACATCATAATTTATAACATGTTCTTTATAAGATGTTATTTGTGTGTCCTGCTGATCAATCCAGTTTAATTTGTTTTCATATTTACTGACATGGTTAATATTTTAAACATCTAATTTTAACAAAAATATCGTAAAAGAATAAGCACAAGTTTTGTATTTATGGTTTGCACATTCTATTGTCTTGCCCATTAAAGGGTTTTTATCACGTCTCAAAATTTTTTGATATGACAAAGATTACATGCTATTAAAATCATATATTTAAAAATCTTTGCTAGAAAATTACATGTAATATTTTTGATGTTTCAGCGACATCAGTTTGAATGTTCCCCGAGTTGTCATGAAATAAGTCTAAATAAAGTAATGATTTAGAAATAATGATAAGTTAATTTTAAAACAGTTCGGAAATAAAACTACACAAGACAATATTTAATGATTATTAACGGAACCGTATAGTGATTGAATATTGATCGTATATTGATGTATGTATACGTGCATTGTTTAGTAAACAACATCATGATGACTTCAGGAACATTTAAGGGTAAAATACTTTATCTGGTAAATGAAAGGGGCATACAATATTTTTTTCCCCAAATAGCTCTCATAAAACGTTAATTGAATTGTGCTTAACATTTTCCTTAAAATGATAATAAATTGAATACATATGGGTATCTAGATTACTTTTCACATTTGAATGCCATGAAAATGCTTTATTTTCTACGTACATAATTCAAATGTTATAGAGTACGGGAAAATCTGTGTCTTGGTTTTACGATATCGAAAATCATTAAAATTAATAAGGAAACAGTTCAAATGCCTAATTACATGTCGTTCCTTTTACGTCGAGGTTAATGAATATCCAATTTTTTTTTTTTTTTTTTTTTTTTTTTTTTTTTTTGTATATATATATATATTACTTTATACATGGAGAAATGAAATATATGGAGATAACGAACAGTAATCAAACTCAAAAGTCCATTAAACAATACAAAATAGGAGCAGAGCAAACACGGACCTCCAAACATTAGAGGTGGGATCAGGTGCCATGACTCGACATTTTTCGAAATTTACCTTTTACCCCAAATTTTAACCCTATTCTTTGCTTTGCGTGAAAACTAAGGGCGATTCGAAGTCAAAATTTTACTTGCATCGGTCAATTTCCGAGAAAGGAAATCCCCTTGGACTCCCGCACTGTCCCTCCCCTTCTGGATCCGCATTTGAATATTTTGAATACAACTGCAGTTTCCATGTCAAAAAATGATAAATGTAGAAATAAAAATGGTCATTACTTTAATTGATAATTAGTAGAATCCGATTTGATCGAATCAAGCGATAAACCTTGAGAGTAAACATTGATATATCGGCATTTGGGGAAATGGTTCGTTCAGTCGACAATTAGGGGTAAACAAATCATTTTCATCAGCTGGGTTGATGATCGACGCCTGCCCAACAACAAAAGTCATATACACCTAATTAGATTTACTGTTCTCAAAAGGAATACTTTTTTTTCTGTATCGGCTATCTTAAAAATTGTTTATTTTTAACAGACCTAATCATAGTGCTATATACATGTATATTTTTTACAAATAATTTATGCTGGTGTACAATTTGTAAATGTATTTCCTTTTTTTAAGGCTGAGATTGTCTATCACTCCTATTTTATTTTTATTGTACAACAGTAGGTTTTACTAATTCTTTTTCATCACTTTACTCTTTTAAATTATAATTTTTATCCTCTTTTTATAATACCACCTTTTTGGATGCTCCTTATTCATAGGAGGAACTTCCCTTACTGAACTGAAGTGAACCGAGTGCAAATATGATATAAATATTTTACTTTAAGAATAGTGCAAATATTTTAAGAAAATGTAAATAGTAGTAAATGTATTACATATATTTTATTAAAAAATTTCTTATCTTCATAATGGTTTACTCGAAAAAGAAGGAATAGAAAAACCTTATTTTAATTCTTCAAGTTTTGTTTTTGTTTTATTGCTCAATTGCCTCTTCTGACACAAGAATATTTGGGTTGTCAATAGTATCCAGTGATGCAGTATGACGTCAAAGATTGACTGTATTTACATCACCTTCTTGTCTGTCATTACGACCAGAGAAATGAAGAAATAATCAGTTTACATTGCACTAGAGTAAAATCATTACATTTCATGCAAATTGGCTTCGATGTAAGGATCTTTGTTCAGCGTGAACAAATTTCAAAAGGCGTGAAAATGAAGCAGAACATTACACAAGACAGGGGGTCACGTAGATGTACAAAATGGACGCTAAAACTCTAATTGTCGACATTATTATACGGCGTCTGTCAACACCGCGCGTGCAGATACGATAATGCATATTGCCTTTTTTTCCTGCCCAGGGTAAAAACTATGCTAAAATTACTTTTCCATTTCATGTTCTACTAAAATTTGTAAAATACGTAATTTAATGAAAGAATAAAATATAATACGTTCAGAAGTATTAAAAAATATAGTACATTTTGAAATTACCTATTTATATGTACATTGCATGCCGATAATATTATAATAGTCTGATTAAAATGAGTCCAGGTAAATAAAATTTGTTGTTATATATGATGTGCATATATTATTTGAAAACAATCATTGCCACGTCATACTGAATTTCATTGCAAGACGTATTCATTTAGTAATATTCTTAAAAAATTTTATTGTCAAAATGTTATAAATTAATAACTATAAATTTTCCCCCAGAAACATGCATAGATGATCGATCGAGGGGGAAACTACAGTTTTTTAAATTCGAAGGAGTTTTTTAAATTCGAAGGAGAGGCTTCAACACAATAAATTCATTCCTCTTGATGATAATTCCTGAATTTTATTCAGCAATATCTATTTACTTAGTCATTCGTTTAATAAAAGCTCTGAAAGTAAATTCTTTTTAAATTATCACAGATCAATTTTTAAATTAAAAAAAAAATGTTTTCAGAAGTGTCTCTGCACATCTTTTATACAGCTAAATAGAAAAAAGTACGACTTCGGTGCACATTTTTATGATTAAATGATGGAGCTACTGCTTAGGCGTTTTGTTTTTAGGTTTTCGTTGGGCCGACCCCTCTGAGCCGTCATTTCTGACACCCATAATGATTGATTACCCCTCCAATACCTGCTTATATAAACTACTGTGTCAACATTTCTCCCTCTGTACCCAAACTATTCTAAACACATCTGGAATCTTTGTGCTGCCTATCGCCAAAAGTGACCGAATGTCTCTGCAACATGCATACGAACTCAATGTCCCCTTATCGTAATTAATCCCCATCTTCTTTATGCACTTCAGTGTTAACAGCCAATCAAATTGCTTGTTCGTGCTTTTGCTGAATTGGGGGCCGGTCATTGTAGGTGTTAATTTGCCAAAATTTGTCTTATTTATGGGATAATATAGCTGCATGCGCAACATTGACAAAACTTTTTTTTACTGATTTCGGAACAAGTTTTATCTTTTGAATGTGTGAAAAGTTGGGCAAATCATAGATGGATATCACGGGGCCACTGTCTGTTCGCGCGAACGCCTTCAGTATCGCATCTCTGATGTCGGGGCCGTTTCCAGATTCTGTCTTTAACTCACTCGGGTATCCCGGAACTTCGAGCCAGTATAACTCCGACTGTTTTGTGGAATGGGGAAACTGCGGATATTCCCCCGGAATGAAAAGCATGGAAGGTGAGCAAACTTCGATTTCAACCCTCTCAAAAAATGTATTTTTTATTTCTTTTTCTTTTTTTTTTTATTTTTGAATTATCTTTTGAGGTAAAGATTTTAATGTAAACTGCCTCCCACGCTGTATTTTAATATTTTTATTTCCAGCCTGTCTCCTTAATGCTGGTACTGGGAGACCACTTTATGAATCTTCAAGATTCGAATATCAAGATGTGATTTCAAGAAATTCCGACAATTGTGCTAAACATTCCCAAGACTCCGACTTCTTGAAAGGTGATCACACCTGTAAAAGTGACAGTTGCTTGGAGAATACACCAGAAGAAAAAGGGGAGCAGTCTAAGAAACCCCTACACCCCAAACTTCTGAATGTCAACGCACACCTGGAGATGAAGTCTCTATGGGATGAGTTCGACGAGCTTGGAACAGAAATGATCGTCACCAAAGCTGGCAGGTAGGGAGTTATGTACTAATTTCATGTGATCGTTTTATTCGATCATGGATTTACTCTAATCATCAAATTTTTGGCAAGGGTGTGTCGATTTCCAAATGGACAATTTTATCACTGAGAGGATATATACACCTGTATTTGCGAGCTAAATTGTTCTAGAGAGAAAGAAGAAATATTCATTACTCCAATATATCTCTTTTATTTCAACCGTTTACAATCAGACTTGTGATTTAATTATTTTCATAGCTTCTTAGTTTTATAAATAAAAAAAAATCAAAATAAGTTGTCTATTGGGACCCGTTTTAATCCCCTTTGTATTCATTCTACTGGCAATCATTCATTAAGTTTATTCCTTGAAATGTATTTTAGAGAATAATGGCTTTGACATCGAAAAGAAAATGAAGATGATATGCTATTTGCACATGTAGATACAAAATTACGGAAAATGAAATTTGAATTACAGTCGATTTGGTTTTTATTCATGTGTATACATACAAATATATTTAACCAGGCAACGGTGTTCACTTCTTGATACCTCATAATTCAATAAATATATATATACATATATATAAAGAGCATGGACTGGGCGTAACAGAATTAAACCAAGTACCAGTTTTACGACAGAACTTGCGACTAAGACCAACAATATAGCTCTCTCTAGCATCTTTCAAATCTAATAATTAAATTGACATTGCTCTTTAACAAAATATTTTTTTCCAAATTCTTTATTAGATTTTATACCTTTTTTTAAAATTAATTAATCTAACGAAGAAAAAAGTCGCGAAAACACATTTTGGTCTTAGTCCTATAAATTCTTTTGTAAAACGTGGTCCAGATCAGCAGTGAAAACAATATGACCCGTTCCTCTGATTATTACGTTGTCTTCCAGACGGAATTGCCAAATTATGTGATGAAAGATTGATTTTACTAATTTGTTTACATACTTTTAGATAGGCAAATATATGTTATACTTTTAAAACGTAAACCTTGATGTCTTATGTCTTTGCAAAATGTCGTATAATCTTTAACGGTTATTTTCAAAAAAAAAATGTCAAAGTTTCGTGTTGTTTGTATTTTTATGTTGCAAACTTGGAGCAAGGTATTTATTGTTCCAGTTTATATGTGTCTGCCAACCAGTATGCATTCGTGTAGATTTTTTTTTATAAACAAATCAAACTTCTATAACTACAACAATCATCTACGAAGACACGATATTAGAGTGAAAACAATCGGTAACGACGGATTAGGTTCGCGACATTGTTTATAAAATGTACTCCGCTCTGTCTCCAAACGTGCGAGTAGTTGTCACAATATCACAAAATAAATATCAATAATTTTACATGTCGGTCAAACTCGTGAATGAGAAAAAAATTAAATGAGGTAATGCCGATATTTATTGTACCTTTATAGAAACAGTACAGTTTAATAGCTAAAGAGAATAAATACACACAAACATTTATAGAAACATAATACAATTCAATAGCTAAAGAGAATACTTACATGCCAACATTTTACGTAATGCAAATGTGCTAAATGTGGAACAAAAATTTAAACTAACTTGCATGTAGTGCAAAACATCAAAATTGTATGATACAATTATATTTCTTCTTCATAAAATTCTTCGCTTTTTTTTTAAATTGGCGTACCAGGTATTTGAATTAGCTGCAGAACTGTAGCGTTACGGTTTTCTATTTTATGCTACAGTTCTGCAGCTAGTATTTGAATTAGATGTCGCTCTTCCCTCATCTTGAATATTATTGCGTATACTCATGTCGCATTGGATACTAGTGGCATGCATGATTATTCTGAAATACGTTCCAAACTCAGCTAGGTGTTTTGTTTCCATTATATATCTATTGGGCTTGTGGGAATATAGTTTTTATTTTTACGTAAGATAAGATACAGAATATTCAAGTGATATTTTCATTTTTATGATAAGTCAAAATTACGATTTTAATCTAAACATTTTTTTTAACCAAAAATATAAAGAGGTTTTTTTCTTTATTATATTAAATGATGTTTACCAAATAAAAAGTATTAAATGATGTTTACCAAATAAAATGCTTGAACGTCGGATCAGTTTGGTAATATTATATTGTAAAAATGACGTATAAATTTCAGTGAACCATTTTAAATTGATCTATTCTAAGTATTCTTTGTTGGACTGCGTTGATAAACAAATTTCCTCTCATGATAAATAGTCTACTTTTCTGAAGTACATTTTCTGTAGAATATATTAAAGAGATATACTACTTAGTAGTAATGCTTATATGAAAGTAGCATGAAGTAAAAGAGTTCGAAGTATTTTTTTATTAATGTTTTGACTAAATGGAATATCTATAACAAGCTTGTGAGATTTTGAAATTAATTGTGCTCTTTATTGTGTAGTGCTTTGATATTAACGAAACTGCGCTTATTGACAGAGATCATTAAATGCTTCAACATGACTACTTTTGAAATAACGTATAGACATTGTGCAGAGTTTTATTCATAAAATGAAATTTGTCAGAAGGACACAACGTACCTTATATAATACGGTGATATGCAGAAAAAAAAATGTTTATTTATTCCTTCAAAGACAATAGGAGCAGCTACGTTAAATCATACAGCACTTATTAAATATTTATACCTTAGTTAAATAAGTAATTTAAAGATTTTGTATATTAAAATTTACTTGTCGAATCAAGTCTGAGAAAACCAGACATTTTATAGGCAAGAATTTTCATTGATTGTAATGGACAATGCCAGCAAATGTCAGATAACAGTTACAATAGTGAGGTACCGAGACTGACCGACCCAATCTTAGTCACGTCGGAGTTTTCGGTGATGCGTCTCATACATGACAGTTTCTGCATTGAAATGCACACTGATCATGCCTATAAGTCCCATGGCGATCGCTGTGGAGACGATCACATGGCCGTACCCTCATCATCATAGGTCCATGCTTCATTAAAGTTCGACGAGCGTAGCATCCCTATCTTGCCTTATCACCTTGTTATGAAAACTGTTTTCTTTCGCTATATGAATCTGCCCTTGTATTTCGCTAATCATTACCAATTTCCATTCCTGCAGCTTTCCAGCTGCTTTTTAAAGAGAAAAGGGTGTCATAAAGTGACCATTTGGTGGGTTCTTGTTTCTAATTTTACGATTTTATGTATGTTAAGATATATGAATAAATCAGGTGGTACTTAACACAGGTGTTAGTTTCTTGAGTGAAGTAATTTACTCGATTCCAAGTTCAGTCAGCATCACACCGCCTTAATGGTGATATAAATAAATCCGCCGTGCGATTTCTCGGTGAAACTTTCTTATAAATTGTTTTCCAGGCATTTGAAGTGGCTCTTACGGTGTTTTCCATCAGTTTTAATTGAATTTTGAGCATGCTTAATGTTGGAAATAAATATATACATCCGCAGCTGTATTCGCCTCAATATATACGTCCTATACTAACTGGAATAAATATTTCTAATTGTTAGGTATTTTGTTACAATTAACGAGAACGAAAGTATCTGGTTAGAAAACGTGCAACATAAACAAAGCACTTTTTTCCAGTGTAAGGAAACGTTATCAGGGAACTTTCAAAGTGGATTTTACCAGAAAATCAAAACAATGTTTCGGGACTCGGAACTCTTGAGATTCATAAAAAAAATGATTTTAAAACCTAGGGTAAATAACTTGGGAGAAAAATGAAATGAACCATTATTTGTGGCGTTGTATAAATTATATAGATGAACAGTATTGATCAATAAGATTGATTTTGACTTTGATAATACATTTTGTTATTGATTTTTTAAACATTAGAAATAAAAGCTAAATACGTATTTTGTTCTTCTTGGGCTTCTTTATGAATCAGCATCTACAAATATTAGGGCTGAGACGATACAACTTTTTCTATATCGATACATATCACGATATTTGAGCCACGATACGATATGTATCCTGATGTGTTGAATTAGTTATAAAATGCCTTTTTGTATTAAAATGAACAAAACATTTCTTCACAAATAAGAATAATTTATTCGAAGAAGTTGTATACCAGATGTAAAAGAAAATAATTGAAGAAAATAATTTTACACAATTAAGTGGTGTTAATTATTATGTATTTCATATTTATATTATTATTTAGCATATTTATATTACATGTATATATTTAACCCAAAATGTTAAGTAAACAAAGAAAGACATAAGTTAGAATTTTTTGCGATATTTCGATATTTCTTCATACGTATCGATATGCGTATCATGCTCACAATGAATCGATATTATCGATATCTCGATATATCGTCCCAGCACTAACAAATATGGTATTAAAAGATACCAATGACACACACTTAAAAACAGCCTGAAACAAGATTTTAATTCAAGTTCAATTTATTTGTCCAAACCAAAATATTGGTACGTGGGGTAAAATATTGATGAAATATATGCATTTTTATACAAACTGGTCAGAGGTACATACGCAATACAAATAATGAAGACAGAAAATGAATAGAAATAAGAAAAAGAAAAAATATCAAGGAAGACAGACAAGCATCAATTTTTTTAGGAACATACAATGTTTTCAGGATTTTTTTTTCATTTTGAGTTGTCACTAGTTCCATATATTTAATAACATTAGGTCTATGAGAATAATTATTGCCCAAGTAATTTTTTCGTATATTAACTAAAGCTTAACATTCTAGTACATAATAAAATCCAACAGCAATATAAGCATTATTTACAAACTCTTCATAATATATTTCAATAAAATCTAAATATTATTGTACAAGACACAAGATGTTTTATTGATCAATCAAGGGCCCCGGAAATGAATTCATTTTGGAAAAAAAAACTTTCAGTTTATATATAAATTAGAAGGACATATGTAGGTATAAAAATAAATATTTCTCTACCCCATATATAATAAATATTTGATAAAAATATTAATATTTTATTTTTAACTTTGCAATGGATATATTCGATAAATGCAAAATCTTATTCGCCTATTTTATATACGTTAAAAT